GTGAGAATCTTTGTGTTCTTGACATTGAGCCTCATTCTATACTGAAGGTTGTAGTCCTTCACCCTCTGCAGCAAGTGCTTCAGGTCCTCCTCAGTTTCAGCAAGCAGGGTTGTGTCATCTGCATAATGCAGATCATTGATAGATCTTCCACCAGTTCTGATACCACATTTCTCCTCATAGAGCCCAGCTTCCCGGATAATCTGTTCTGCATGCAGGTTGAAAAGGTATGGAGACAGGACACATCCTTGGCATACGCCCTTCCCTATTTTGAACCATGCAGTTTTTCCTTGCTCTGTTCTGACGACTGCCTCTTTTTCCAAGTATAGGCTTCTCATTAGCAATATCAAGTGTTCTGGGATTCCCATTAGTCTCAGAGTCAGCCACAGTTTGTTATGGTCCACACGGTCAAACACTTCTGCAAAGTCAACGAAACACAGATATACATTCCTCTGGTATTTTTTTCTAATAAAACTAACTCATATGAAATATGAGTTAGTTTTATTTTAAAAACAGCAACAAACAAAACAAATATCAAATCACTTAAATTTTGGGGAAAATGTTGACAGCATTGAAAGAAATATAATTTATTTCATCTGGCTTTATGTTCTATGTATCATTTCCAATACCACTTTAAAAAATTATTACAATTTCCTACTTTTGAACTAAGTCAGAGGAAGCATTTCAAATATATATTTGGATTTTTTTTTATCAACAGGGTGATTCTGGTGGTCCTCTGGTGTATCCTGATAATCGTGACATCTGGTATCTTGTTGGTATAGTAAGTTGGGGACAATCTTGTGCTCTCCCGAAAAAACCTGGAGTCTACACAAGAGTGACTATGTATCGAGACTGGATTGCAGCAAAGACAGGTATCTAGGAATTTAGTGTGAATTGCCCATGAATTATATACATGGCATACAGAACTGAAAGTCTTTCTTGGTTTGTATCATTTATGTTCATGCATTTGGATTAGTGCCTTTGCTGGAAACCAAGAAGCCCTTCAGACTCAGAATAATCTAATATTTTGTTGTGGTAGGCTTTGTATACTTATGACCAAACTATCTCTCCTCCACGAGGGAAGAAGACACAGCAAGTGATAAATGGCACTGACTTCTCATTTGCAAGAAAAATTTGTTTCCAGGACTTTATAAGTGACTACTTAAGAATGGTTACCCGCTTCTGCCCACACATGCACAGTGCAAGAGGGGGAACATAATTTCTCACAGGACATGAAGAGCTGCCAGTCTTGCCAAAATCTTACCTCATCTGGTGTCTACAGTGCCAGACCAGAGATTCTTCTAGTTTAAAATTAAGCTTCTCCTGAAGATTTAGAACTTTAAAATTCCATTACTAGTGACCTGCTGGAAATAAGAGCTGTGGTAGCCTAGTTGTGAGAAGCTGTACTGCAACCTCTTAGGCACCAGGTTCAAGTCCACCAGCAGCTCCTCGAAAGAAGGACGGGTAATCTCCTCCCATGTGATTTACTGCCTCTCAAAACCTGCTAGAGAGCCAGTGATGGCTCAGTTCCTACTTGCTGGTACACAACAGCAACAGAGGAATGGAAAAGCACTCGGTTTTGCAGTACAATTTGGATTTTAACTTGGATTTATACCTCACGATGTAAACCATTATCTTTAAGCTATAAGAGTTCCCATTTAAATGATTGTTTCATTAAAAAATAATCTGAACTTGGTTTTGACATTGTGCCACACAAGCATGGCTTTAGGAGATACATTACATTTTATTGTTTTATGAAGCACATCTGATTGGTTATTTAACAGTACCTTGCTCTTTAAAAACATATATAGATTGTAGTTAAAGCCAAACAACAGAAAAAAATATTATTGGGAGAAGTTTTCCATGGATACAATGAGGATAAAAATAACCAATGGAATAAAGACTAGCAGACAGTTAGATTAAAAGAAATTGTTATAAGACCGATTCTTTTATAGGTTTTTAATTGGAAGATTATTCATTTATTATTTAAACATATCTAAAATATATCTAGATCAATAGGTGACAACTGGTGCTTTGTGGGTTAGATATTTATCTAAGTATCAGTCTAAGAGAACGGATTTTTATAACCCACTCTGGGGAGTGGCTGCAATGTTATTATTGTATTTATTTAAAGGAAAGTTTATTTTTAAAAATTATAAATGGAAACTCATATGATCAAGTAAATGAATTATTTTGGAGCACAAATAAAGCACAAAGTCTTGTGTTAGGTGTAGTGCTGTATGTTAAGGAATTATCCCAACTTGTACCTTGTCTATAACACAAAAAACTGTGTACCTTTGCACAAGTTACTTTTCAGTATATTAGCTTTTTCATCTCTACCACCTCCTATTCTACGAAGATTAATGGCATTAACAACTAAAAGTAAAAGCTCTTGGAACACTATCTGTATACAATAGACTTTCAATGCATATTGTCTTTGTTAGCTGTCATTAAGTTTATTCAGACTGACCATGACTCCATGTGGACAGAATAGAACTGCTCTGCATCCAACTGAATAAACTTACTGTTTTTAATATATGTGTTGACAAAAAAAGGATATGTGGAAGACATTCTTTTATATAATCAATGACATAAAAAAGAAAGTCATTGCAACTGACTGAAATTAATGTTACAATCATGCTGTTAGAGCCAGAAGGAACCTGAGAAATTACCTAAATCAACTGCCTTTTGAGATCCAGGCTTTAAAAAAATAACATAATGGGTTATAAAAGCAAAAAATTGTACTTAAGACTCAACGGAATTCACGTGAACAAGCCTCATCTTACTTTTCAGGTTTCTGAATGCTCACAACTCCCTTTGTCAGCATGTTCACATCTTCCAGTGCTCTCTTCTCTTCTGTTTCTCTGCCTGATTTTCAGACTTCTCATATGCCAGGGTCCTTTCTGCCAGATCTATTTCCTCTGCCTAGTGCATATTTCATCCTCACTTGCTGTGTCCTGGTTATTGCCTTTTCTTCCAGATTACCTCCCAAGAATGCTCACAAAGTATACTGTATAAATTTAAATAGGTGAAAATTATATTATTGTAAATAAAAATGAAGGAGCTCTGATGGCATGGTATGTTATGTATTGCACTGCTAAAATGAAAGGACAATAATTTGAATCCACCAATGGCTCCAGAAGAGAAATATGAGCTATCTCCTTCTGTAAATATTTGCATCTTCATAAACCTGATGGTGGGTTGCTGAGAGCTGGAATCAACTCTACAGCTGTGGGTTTAAACTGTTATCAGACAAAGTGATAAGATACATGCATCAATTTTAATGAAGGCTTTTTTTACAATGTTATAATTTTTATTTATCAGTAATATCGTTTCTGTTTTACAAAATATGATTTTTATTTAAAATAAAACTGACCTCTGCCTCTTACATGTTGAATGTTATGTTAATGTTGAAATATTTTCATTAAAAAATGCTCCAGTTTGTTTGTCTGACTCATTGTTTTAAGAGATAAGTGAAATCCATCAAATTTGCAGTAATATAGTACATAATTTCCATAGAATTTGGGTGTTGTGAAAACTGAAAGGTTAGTTTATAATGCTAGACCAAGATTGGACTAAAAATATTGCCAGCATTAACCATCTCTCCTTGCCTAATCCAAGGGCCCATGGCTCAAATCAACCAACTGTTCTCCAGGAAAAGGTAGAGCACTCTCACCTGTGCAATCTATAACCTCTGAAAACCCACTGGAAGGTTACCAACTGGAGTGTTAGCAATTGGAGCTGATTCCAATCTGATGGCCTACAAAAATAGTGATTGTTATGGTCAGTAATCTATTTTATTAAATTATATAAACTTCTTGATTCATAGCATGTTTATTAGAGAAGTGATGTTTGGCAAGCATTTCTTCATGGACTTATTGCAATGAAAAAGAACTTGCTTTAATTTATTAAATCAAAGACTGCACCCTTCACTATGGATTGCATCTCAACATCAAGTAAATAAACATTTAAAAAAGAATTCCTCACTATTGGACCAAATTTCAACAATTTCAACTTGCTTGCATCCACAGTCAATATACTTGGAATCAGCAGTCAGGTTATTGGGAGACATATATTAGCATTGGGAAAGTCTGCTGTCAGGAAGCTCTCAAAAATCCTGAATAGCAATGAGGCCAGTTTAAAGATTGATTCAAGGAAGTCTTTCAAATTACTTCTTATGCATCTGAGAATTGTACAAATTACAGGTGAAGAATAAATGCATTTGAGTTGTGGTGTTGGAGCCTAGTGCTAAATATCCCATAAAACACCAAAAAAACAAACAGCTATGTCTTGGAGAAAGCACAATTAGAATGTTCCTTGGAGGCAAAGATTGCGAAGCTTCATCTCTCAGATTTTAGGGGAGGCTATTCCTTAGAAAGGAACACCATGCTTGGAAAGATGAAAGATTAGTAATTATTTGTTATGCATCAGATAGCTGGACAATAACCAAAGATGACTGAAGAAACATTTTTATTGAGCAGGAAGGGCGACAAAGATGACACTGACCATACTACTTTGGTCATCACTCTCCACAGTTCTGACAATGATTTTTTTTTGCCCACATTAGTCTCTTGAACAAAGGTTCTTCTAAATTTTCCATTTCAAGGCTTCAACTCATAATTTTTCCCTTCCAGTTTTAATAACATGCATCAATCTACATTTTTTTAAATTTGGATCAGTCTCAAATACACTTTCCTTGGCTAGATCTGTTCAAACTAGTTCAAAGTCTTGCCTTTACATTTAGTAGATTACTTTAGCCTCACAGTACTATTGTGAGAATTTCCTGTGAATAACAAATAAAGTACAAAAGTCAGGGAAGTTGTAAAGATTGTTTTGTTCACAATAGCAAAGAGATGGAAATAACCTAAGAGCCTATCAACAAATGAATGGATAGAGAAGTTCTGGTACATTCACACAATGGAATACTATGCTGCATTGAAAAACAAGGAACTCATGCAATGTTATTCAAAATGGGTGACCCTGGAGGACACTATGCTGAGAGAAATATGTCAGTCACAAAAGGAAAAATAGTGCATAGTGCCAATGTTGTAGAATAGGACTAACATCAGGGTGGGGGTGAGACAGAAAAAATGGATAAATTATGTATACTGCATTGAAACAGATGAGGGAGAGAACAGTTTAAAAGTGATATATGATTGGGTATTATGTAGTATGGTTATGAGAAGAGTTCAGAATGAAGGTTGCATAACACTGGAGTGTTGGGGGGGCGGGGATTGTATACCAATGAAGGAATTTTTCTTTTGTTTTTCAAAGAGAAGAGCAAACTGAGGGGGAGTGGTGGTCGGAGAGAAAAATGCAACAATGAATGAGTTTAAATCCAAAATCTCTGTAAATGTTCATTAAAATTGATTAAATTTTAAAAAGTGCACAGTATATTATTATAAATAGTATTCATACCAAGTGGTGCTTTACATGCATTTAACTATAATATTCTTTTTATACAGTTTTGACATTAACTTATAAATTGTTGTTGTTATGTATCATTGAGTCACCTGCAACTCATAGTGACCTATGCACACTAACTCTGAAACTTGGTCTATCCTGGACCAATCTCATCATCTCCAACAGACTCAATACCATTTCTCCAGACACTGAGTCAATCCATGAGTTGTTATTGTCATTATGTGCCATCGAGTCACTTGCAACTCACAGTGACCCTAAGTACAACAGGTCTGAACCTTGCTCTATCCTGAGCCAACCGTACTGTCTCTAACTCACCTACCCCACTACTCTAGTCACTGAGTCAATGCATCTCATCGAGTGTTTTCCCCTCCTGTGCCATCTCTTCACCATCCAAAGCATAATGCCCCTCTCTAAGGACTGGTCTTTTCCTCCAACCTGCCCAATGTATGTGTGGCA